GGAGCGGGGGGCCTTCTCCCTCTGGGGGGGGTTTTGGGGGGGGGGGGGTGTGTGTGTCTCTCTCCTCACAGGGCGCTGTTGCCGGTACAGGGATGCGGATTTAAATGAAGGGTGCGGATTTAAATGAGGAGTGCGTGGGTGTATTTAGAGGGGGTTTAGAGCGGGGGAGGTCGCACGGCGGGGTGGGAGGTGACCCCGGAGTGTAGGCCTCGGCCGGCCCCCGGTCAGGCCATGGACCTCAGCGGCCTGGTGCGAGCCCTGAGGCTGGAGGAGCCGCCGGACGGGGCGCAGCCACCCCCAGCTCTCCCGCCGGCCGAGCAGGTCCTTCTCCAGATCGGGCAGCGCCTCTCCGAGGGGGGCGGCCGTACCCCCAAGGCCGCCCTGGTGAGAGACCTGGCTGCGGTGGTGGAGGCTGCCGACTGCCGGTGGCTTTTGGGAGGCCTGAGCCCTGCGGCGGCGGGTGGGTTGGTGGCCGCGCTGAACGGCTACGCGGCGCCCCCGAAGCATGAGCAAGACGCTGCGGATCTCCCCTCTAAGGACAGCGCGTACGCCGCTGCGGCTGAGAGAGCAGCAGATGTTGGGTCGGTGTTTTTACATCTCCTTGCGAAGCTGGAAGCTGCCAGGAGCCAGGAGGCTCTGGGTGTCCCCGTGGTGGGCCCGATCCTAGGCCGTGTGATGGGACCCATCTACATCTTTGCTGCGACGCACGTTGTGGAGAGGCCCTGGACGAACGTGAGGTCTCAGGCGGCGGCAGAGGAGCTGCTGGTGTTGCTGGTTCGGGCCGCAGGCTGCGGGTCAGTGGCTGAATTCCTTCGGGGAAAGAATGAGGCCTCTCCGAGGGGGGCGGCCGTACCCCCAAGGCCGCCCTGGTGAGAGACCTGGCTGCGGTGGTGGAGGCTGCCGACTGCCGGTGGCTTTTGGGAGGCCTGAGCCCTGCGGCGGCGGGTGGGTTGGTGGCCGCGCTGAACGGCTACGCGGCGCCCCCGAAGCATGAGCAAGACGCTGCGGATCTCCCCTCTAAGGACAGCGCGTACGCCGCTGCGGCTGAGAGAGCAGCAGATGTTGGGTCGGTGTTTTTACATCTCCTTGCGAAGCTGGAAGCTGCCAGGAGCCAGGAGGCTCTGGGTGTCCCCGTGGTGGGCCCGATCCTAGGCCGTGTGATGGGACCCATCTACATCTTTGCTGCGACGCACGTTGTGGAGAGGCCCTCCTCAGCGGCCTGGTGCGAGCCCTGAGGCTGGAGGAGCCGCCGGACGGGGCGCAGCCACCCCCAGCTCTCCCGCCGGCCGAGCAGGTCCTCCTCCAGATCGGGCAGCGCCTCTCCGAGGGGGGCGGCCGTGCCCCTAAGGCCGCCCTGGTGAGAGACCTGGCTGCGCTGGTGGAGGCTGCCGACTGCGGCTGGCTCCTGGGAGGCCTGAGCCCTGCGGCAGCGGGTGAGTTGGTGGCCGCGCTGAACGGCTACGCGGCGCCCCCGAAGCATGAGCAAGACGCTGCGGATCTCCCCTCTAAGGACAGCGCGTACGCCGCTGCGGCTGAGAGAGCAGCCGATGTTGGGTCGGTGTTTTTACATCTCCTCGCGAAGCTGGAAGCTGCCAGGACCCAGGAGGCTCTGGGTGTCCCCGTGGTGGGCCCGATCCTGGGCCGTGTGATAGGACCCATCTACATCTTTGCTGCGACACACGTTGTGGAGAGGCCCTGGACGAACGCGAGGTCTCAAGCGGCGGCAGAGGAGCTGCTGGTGGTGCTGGTTCGGGCCGCAGGCTGCGGGTCGGTGGCTGAATTCCTTCGGGGAAAGAATGAAGATGAGGAAGGCAGATTTGCAGCAGTGATGGGGCTCCTGAAACAGGAGCTAAACAAGTGAGTAGGGAGGGGAGGGCAGTGAGGGAGAGGGTGGTGTGTTTGGCTGGTCTCTGTGTAGGAAATACTGGAAACTTTTTGGAAACTGTATGAGTTCAGGCATTACATGCTCATGCTCTCTACAACTACCTGAAAGGAGGGTGTAGAGAGATGGGGGTCGGTCTCTTCTCCCAAGTCACAGGCGACAGGACAAGAGGAAATGGCCTCAAGTTACGCCAGGGGAGGTTCAAGCTGGATATTAGGAAAAAATTTTTCACTGAAAGGGTTCTCAGGCATTGGAATGGGCTGCCCAGGGAGGGGGTTGAGGCCCCATCCCTGGAGGTGTTCAAAAGACGGGTTGATGTAGTGCTGGGAGGTCTGGTTTAGTGATGATGCTCCTTGTTTGTTGTGTGGGTGTCTATTTTTGTCAGTTAGGTTGACAGTTGGACAAGATGATCTTTGAGGTCCCTTCCAACCTAGAAGATTCTGTGATTCTGTGATTACAAGACACTGTGTGGGGCCAAGAGCTTTAAGAAGAGCCAGTAATGGAAGAGGGGGAAAGGGGAAGAATCAGGCAGGGCTTACTGTCAGCAGAGAGGCACGAGTATATAGGAAATGAGCATTCCTTAGTTCCAGTGTTCCCTGAGCTTGTGTATTTCCAGAGACACTTGGAAGTGTAACCCTGCCACAAAGTTTGTGTTCTCCTGGACGCTGCCTCACGTCACCCGGCCCTGGCTTAGCCATTACCTGGAGCGTGTCCTCCCGCCGTCGCTGCTCATCTCGGACGACTACCAGGAGGAGAATAAAATCCTGGGTGTGCGCTGCCTGCATCACATCGTCCTCAACGTGGTGAGGGATTTGAGAAATCGGAGCCTTTTCTGGGTGGTGTTAGAAGGAAGGGAGGGCTGGACGCCTGTGGGGATTCCTGACTTGTAATCCTGGTTCTGCTGGTAACCAAACAATTCTGCCCCATCCTCTATATTGTTCTGGGTGTTTAAATATGTGTAGTTCTTACATCAGTTAATATGAAGCAAAGAATTGCTTTGCCACCTTTTGAACTCGGGAGGCCCCATCCCTGGAGGTGTTCAAAAGACGGGTTGATGTAGTGCTGGGAGGTCTGGTTTAGTGATGATGCTCCTTGTTTGTTGTGTGGGTGTCTATTTTTGTCAGTTAGGTTGACAGTTGGACAAGATGATCTTTGAGGTCCCTTCCAACCTAGAAGATTCTGTGATGACAAGACACTGTGTGGGGCCAAGAGCTTTAAGAAGAGCCAGTAATGGAAGAGGGGGAAAGGGGAAGAATTGGGCAGGGCTTACTCTCAGCAGAGAGGCACGAGTATATAGGGAATGAGCATTCCTTAGTTCCAGTGTTCCCTGAGCTTGTGTATTTCCAGAGACACTTGGAAGTGTAACCCTGCCACAAAGTTTGTGTTCTCCTGGACGCTGCCTCACGTCACCCGGCCCTGGCTTAGCCATTACCTGGAGCGTGTCCTCCCGCCGTCGCTGCTCATCTCGGATGACTACCAGGAGGAGAATAAAATCCTGGGTGTGCGCTGCCTGCATCACATCGTCCTCAACGTGGTGAGGGATTTGAGAAATCGGAGCCTTTTCTGGGTGGTGTTAGAAGGAAGGGAGGGCTGGACGCCTGTGGGGATTCCTGACTTGTAATCCTGGTTCTGCTGGTAACCAAACAATTCTGCCCCATCCTCTATATTGTTCTGGGTGTTTAAATATGTGTAGTTCTTACATCAGTTAATATGAAGCAAAGAATTGCTTTGCCACCTTTTGAACTCGGCTGATTGACGTTTTGGCCTGACAATGGTCTGTGGGGCAGGATGTTAAAGTATATGAGTGGGAACTGCAAAACTGCAGCTGGGGAGGGGAGGGAAAGTGGCTGCTCCTGTGCACGGCAGGGTTTAACCTGCATTTGTTACAGCACCTACTTTCTGTAGGTGTAGGTGTACTTTCTACACCTACTTTCTGTAGGTGTAGTGGTGTTCCCGATGCGTGGTGCGTGCGAGGGTTCGTGAGGGCTGTTCCCTTTTATTAGGGGAATTTCACTGAATTTTAGAGTTGGAAGGTACCATAGAGATCATCTAGTCCAACTCCCCTGCTGAAGCAGGATTGCCTAGAGCTTGTCAGAGCATGTTACTCAGGAGCATCCAGGTGGGGCTTGAAAATCTCCAAGGAAGGGGACTCCACACCCTCCCTGGGCAGCCTGTTCCAGGGCTCTGTCACCCTCATCGTGAAGAAGTTTCTCCTCATGTTTGAGACCTGATAAGGTCTTCCCTCAGCCTTCTCTTCTCCAGACTAAAGAGTCCCAGCTCTCTCAGTCTCCCCTCATAAGGGAGATGCTCCAGTCCTTGAATCATCTTTGTTGCCCTTCGCTGGACTCTTTCTAGTAGTTTCCTGTCCCTCTTGAACTGGGGAGCCCAGAACTGGATGCAGTACTCCAGTTGTGGCCTCCCCAGTGCAGAGCAGAGGGGGAGAATGACTTCCCTTGACCTGCTGGCTACACTCTTCCCTCTGCAACCCAAGATACCATTGGCCTTCCTGGCCACAAGAGCACACTGTTTACTCATTGTCATTTTACTGTCCACCAGGACCCCTAGATCTTTCTATTCAGTAGTTGCTGAAGTGGGTGCTGAATGGGATGCAGGGGAATAACGTTCTGTTCTCTCTTGTTGCAGCCAGCTGCTGATCTGTGCCAGTTCAACCGGGCTCAGGTTGTGTACCATGCCCTCTACAACCACCTCTACTCGCGAGAGGCCCCTCTCATCCAGGTAGGGCAGCAGAGCTTCACCTCCATCTGCTTCCTGCTGGTGTGTGTCAGCCCCACGAGGGATAACCTGCCTAAGACATGGGGTGGCAGAACCTTTTTCCTTGGAGACAGTCTAGTCAGGCTGTTACCAGCCAACGCTCGTGGCCAAGAGACAAAGTAAATCAGTAGATTTCGGGAAAATATCAAAGTGGAGGGAAGATCTTTTGCCTCCTGTCCCCTTCCAGGTGGCAGCCTTGCTGAAAAGGGCTGGTAACAGGTAGTAGTGAGACCTGGTGAACTGCAGCGGTGGTGGGTGGTCAGGAATTTACTGGGATTTTTGGAGAGAACATCAGGATTGCTCAGATTTTGTGTCTCTCACCCAACCAGGCAGTATTGCTGTGCCTGCTGGACTTGCTGCCCATCCTGGAGAGAGCCCAGCGGCAGCAGAAGGGGGCCAGACCCACCGCCCCCTGGGATGAGGTGCTGCAGCTGGTTCTGACCCACATGGAGGCAGAGCATCGCCTCGCACTGCGGCGGGTGTACGCCAGGGCCCTGCCTGCCTTCGTGCAGAGGTGAGAGCAGCAGCCCCAGCCCTGCAGGGACCTGCTTTGTCCTTGCTCTGTATCTCCCTCCTCAGTGTGTGCTGTCGGCAGGCTTGGCATCCTGATAACCTGCAGGGACCTGCTTTGTCCTTGCTCTGTGTCTCCATCCTCAGTGTGTCCCAATTCCTTTCGGCAGGCTTGGCATCCTGATAGCACGGCACCTGAAGAGGCTGGAGCGAGTTATCCTGGGATATCTGGAAGTCTGTGATGGGCCTGAGGAAGAAGCCAGACTGGGAATACTGGAGACACTGCAATGCACCATCGAGCACGCTTGGCCCAGGTACTGCTCTGGGGGTGAAGGACACGTTCCTGGGCATGTTCAGTTTGGGGAAGAGGAGGCTGAGGGGAGACCTCCTTGCCCTCTACAACTCCCTGAAAGGAGGGTGTAGAGAGGTGGGAGTTGGTCGCGTCTCCCACGGGAATGATGACAGGAGCAGAGGGAATGGTCTGAAGCTGGGGCAGGGGAGGTTTAGATTAGATCTTGGGAAGAATGACTTTCCTGAGAGGGTGGTCAGGCCCTGGAACAGCCTGCCCAGGGAGGTGGTGGAGTCACAATCGCTGGAGGGATTTAAGAAACGTGTAGACGTGGCACTTGAGGGCGTGCTCTAGTGCCCAAGATTGTTGGGTTGGGTCTGTTTGTGGGTTTTTGTAGTTTTTTGGTCGTCTTTTTTTTTTTTTTATGGTGGTTGGACTCGATGATCTCAAAGGTCCCTTCCAACCATGAAGATTCTGTGACACTACAGAAAGTGTACCCTGACTGCTGTCCCTCTTTCACAGCCAAAGTTACTCTTGCTTGAGGAAAAGGCCCTGAAATCTTAAGGGAGAATCTCTCACAGGGACGAATCATGGGTGTTGCTGCTTTGCTGAAAAACCTGACCAAAAGTTAAGCTGGGTCCTCGTTTTGAGGTCTTCTGCCTCTTCTTGGAAGCATGATTTTGGCTAAAAAGCATCCCAAGGTTATGTCTGTGTTGAGGGCCTGTGTCCTCCCTCCAGTGGACATACTGACTGCTGCAGCTTCAGCCTCCTCACTGAGGCTGTTGCTTTTCTAAAGAAATTCTTTGGTGTGAGGGTGGTGAGAGCCTGGCCCAGGTTGCCCCGAGAAGCTGTGGCTGCCCCATCCCTGGAGGGGTTCAAGGGCAGGTTGGAGGGGGCTTGGAGCAACCTGGGCTGGTGGGAGGTGTCCATCCCAGGGCAGGGGGGGTTGGAATTTGATGATCTTTAAGGTCCCTTCCAACTCTGACCATTCTAGGATTCTCTCTCAGGCCAGCTACAATCGTGTTCCACACAAAAATGGCAACTGGCAGCTCATGTTTAGGAACAGCTCTGCTTTCCCCTGGCGTGTGGAGAGGATTTAGAGTAAGGCAGGTTGGTGTTTCCCCCTGCAGGATGCCGTGCAGGCTCCCTGTGCTCCTCCCAGCCCTGCTGAAGATGATCTGGGACGTACACACCCACCAGGGTTCAACACCAGAGCTGGTGAAAGCCTCCTTGCTGCAGGGGGCCACCCAGTGCCTCATCCTGCTGGATCGCTGCTCCGAGGGGCGAGTGAAGGTGAGCCAGGACCCAGCACTTCATCCCTCATCCCTTCCCCCTCAGGAGGGGCAGGGAAGAGCCTGCTTCCTTCCCCAATCCAACAGTATTTTGAAAGCATCAATTTCCACCCCCCTCAATGTTAGAACTTGATAAGCGGCTCAATAAATATCAACAGGTTTATGCTTTGTGTAATTGTAATGCAACAACCAGGTGGCAGAGGGTTGGTAACACCGTAAATCCGGGTGTGCCAAGGCCCTGGAAAAGTTGATGTGTGTCTCGTTTCAGGTCCTGCTGGCAGGGGTGTACAGCAGCTGTGAGGAGAGCCGCGTACGGGAATGCATCAGAAAAGTGCAAGAGAACACGTGAGGGGAGGCTGATGGATGCTCACCCTGCTTTTTGTACAGTAAAATTTATTTTTTTATTAAAAGTTACTGTCTTTCTCATCCCACCCGTTAGCTCCATACCTCCCCAAACAAGACACGCTCCTGTGCTCGCCCCCCCACGTGTGGGCTTCTCCAGCTTTGGAACAAAGCAGCAGTTACCCCCCAGCCCAGGGTCCTTCCCAGAGCACAGTCTGAGCTGAGCTTTGTGTGGCTGCAGAGAAGGTGGGGAGTCTTCAAGCTGTGTTTCACGCAGGAGTTGTACAAACTTGCTGCAACGGCCCAGGGTCAGGGCAGAAACCTTTCTTTTCTTACAGAAAAGTATTAGTCTAGAGCATGGAAAAAGTAATTAATGAGGGTCCTGCAGAAAGTGGTGAGAGCTGGAAGGAGTTACAGTGACAGATCTGGAGTCCTCTCATTCCGTACAAAACGTGGGGTGAGGAAGGAGTCAGGCTGCTTTTGTTTTGCTGGTTGGCTCTGTTTCCTCTTCATACTCTATTTCAATGTAGCGACGTTTTCTTCTGGCTGGTCCTTTCAGGGGAGTTTTCCCTTTAGATTTGGAGTGAGAGGCTTGCTTCTCTACTTCCTCCTCCTCTTCCTGCTCCTCTTCACTACTTGTCTCCAGCTTATCCATGTCCTGAGAAAGAAAGAGTGACATCAAAGATGTAACTACAAAATTATCTCGTGTATCCAATTTCCATTTTATAACTCCTGGCTCCCAGCTGTCTGGCCGGAGGAGCTGGGGTGCAGTGGATGCACAGTCCAACTGTATTGTTATGTTCCACAAATCTGATGTCTCTGATTTCTCTGGGTCTTATCCCATCACCTGTGACACCACAAGGGTGGAGGTTGCTTCCAAACAGCTTGGCCTGACAGTTTATACCTGGTGCTTCACTTACCTCGAAGTCACTGAGGTCACTGTCATCGCTGCTGGCTTCCACAAACTCTCTTTTATCTGTGTCCTGTAAGAAATAAGAGTCAGCAGCTGGAACGTGGACACTGAGTGTGATTCAGTGTCACAACTCGCAGTGGAAGAGCCATCTGGGCCACCACTTGCACACGTGTGTGCTTTTTTCTGAGGGGGAAAAAAAAAATCCCCCTTTTTTTTTCCCCCTGCACCAGGACAGGTTGGGGGTGACCTGCTAAAGACCTGGGAGTCCTGGTGGACAAGAGGATGGCCATGAGCCAGCAATGGGCCCTGGTGGCCAAGAAGGCCAAGGGCATCCTGGGGGGCATCAGGAAGAGTGTGAGCAGCAGGTGGAGGGAGGTCATCCTGCCCCTCTGCTCTGCCCTGGGGAGGCCCCAGCTGGAGCACTGGGACCAGTTCTGGACTCCCCAGTTCCAGAAGGACAGGGAACTGCTAGAGAGGGGACAGCAGAGGCTCCAGAGATGAGGAGGGGCCTGGAGCATCTCCCTTACGAGGAAAGGCTGAGGGACTTGGGGCTTTTGAGTGTGGAGAAAAGAAAGCTGAGGGGGGATCTGATCATACTGAAAGGGTGGGTGTCAGGAGGATGGGGCTGGTCTTTTTTCAGTGGTGCCCAGGGACAGGACAAGAGGGAACGGGCACAAACTTGAACATCAGAAGTTCCACCTAAAGATGAGGAGGAACTTCTTTGCTGTGAGGGTGGCAGAGCCCTGGCAGAGGCTGCCCAGAGAGGTGGTGGGGTCAGTCTCCTTCTCTGGAGACATTCAAAACCCCCTGGACATGTTCCTGTGGGACCTGCTCTGGCAGGGGGTTGGACTGGGTGATCTCCAGGGGTCCCTTCCAACCCCATGTGATTCTGAGTTCTCTTCTCACCCCGACACTCACACTACCCTGTTGGGTGGATGGGGCACTGCCCCAGCTCAGGGAAGGCTCAGCCGTGGTGCTGTGGCTGAAAGTGTTACCTCATCATCATCCTCCTCCTTCTCCGCATCAGACTCGCTCTCGCTTTCTGCTTCCTGCTGTTGTAGAGCTTTGTCGAAGGCGTGGATGGGGAAGTTGTAAATGTCTCCATACTGAAAAGGAAAAGGTGGATTTTCTGTAAGACAGCCATTGGTGAAAGGGTCACCTAAAGCCCGGTGCCCGTGTGGAGGCACTACCAAGGGAGCCTCAACTGGTGGCTCAGCCCCTTCCCTAGTTCTGTGCAGAAAATGAGTGAGGGGCTCTGTGTTTTGGGGAAGCAAATCCTCCAGCCTGTTATAGAGCCCTTCAAGAAGGGCAGGTGCAGTCATCCCCTACTCCTCCTACAGAGGTGGTGCTTCTCTTTCACACCACCACCCCTGTCCCTCCCTGGACAAGCAGCAGCAGGACAGAGGGCAGTAGGAGCAGTGTTACTGCCACGATCTGAGGGCAGGGATCCTTACTGTGTCCTGTTTCAGTCTTTCCAGTAATTCCTTCTCGATGGCGTTGTCCAGCTGAGCGGCAATCAGGGCTTTCTCCTGGTGGAGCAAAGAGGAGTGTGTCAGGAGATTGAAAGACACGTGGAACAGAAGCAACAGAAGGAGATGACACGGAGGAGCGTTATTACCTCTCTCCTCTTCTCTCGCCTTTCAATCTTCCTGCGTAAAGGAACCAGCTTCCTCCTACGGGGAACAACAAGAGTTAGTTTGTGAATGTCTCTTGTGCAGCAGGTGGGCAAACGCTCATTGGGGGCAACAACCAGCAGTTTTATCATTAGAAATGTGCCTGAAGGTAATTTAAGTGCATTTATATACTTGACTACACCCCAATTAAACCCATTTAAACCAGGTTTGTTTGCAAACCTGCCTCGGGAAGGCTCAGGAGAACAGCTGGGTTGCACCAAGGCTGTTTGTCAGTGGCTTTAAACCAAACCCCCAAGGAGATGCTGGCTCCTGGCCCTGTCACTTACTGTCTCTTGAGCGTCAGCTTGCGGATGCGGATGAGGTACTGCGTGATCTTGGTGAAGCGCTGCTTGCATTTGTGCCGGATGAACCGCGGCCAGTAGATGAGGTTCTCGTCGATCTCTTCCAACGCTTTCTCGTAGTTCTTGCTGAGCAGGACCTGGGAGGGGGAAAGGGTTGAGCCACGGAGCAGCAGCAAAGAGGGGACACGTCTGCTCTTGAGAGGAGTCCCATCGCTCCCTGCCTCATTAGAATCAGAATTGCCCAGGTTGGAAAGGACCTTTAAGATCATCTTGTCCAACCATCAACCCAACTCTGATCAAAACCATCACTAACCCATGTCTCTAAGCACTAGGTCAACC